AGTGCTCAAAAACGCCAAAAAAGTATTTAGGCGACGTGAACAAAGTAGTAAGAAAGTAAGAAAACAGTTAAAAATAGAAAAAAACACCCGAAATCCCGAAGCATGAATGTCCTTTCACATGTTCAAAAGCTGCTCTGGTCAGGTTGTTTGACAGGTTGAAAGACTGTCTCTTTCGTGCAAGAGTATACAAGACTAATAGAATCTAGTTTCCTGAGATAGGGCGCACTAAATTAACCACAAACTGTTATTGATAACTACTGTAAATTCTTTCCTTGTGTCACACACAGCAGCCAACCTGACCCCTCTTTCCATTCATCCATTTGTCCCCGCTAAAGCCACTACTGATGAGTCCAAGGAGGAGTAGGTGAACCAAGGCCCAACACCCTCCTCCTGGATCCACTCCTGGATCCACTTCTCAACACAGGACCTCCCTCCACCCTGAAAACCTCTGGAACCAGCTCACACACATACGCACACACTGATTTTGACATCATACACCCAGCCACTAAAGCCTGGCAGTGAGCAGCACAGGCCTTGGCACAGTTCACCTTAATGAGTGGCAGCTAAGAGCCCGGTTTCACTGCTGGGTGGCTAAGAGAGACAGAGAAGCAGAGAGAGAGAGAGAGAGAGAGAGAGAGAGAGAGAGACCTGATTGAGCAGGGTGGATTGTGGGATTGGCATATGCTGTGTGTGTCTATGAGGCCTTGGCCGGCCAGCCGGCGACTGAGCTCTCAGGGCCTCCCTGAAGTGATGCTAAACAGAGAGAAAAAGACAAATGAAAAAACATAACCACAATGGGGATTTTGCCCTTTGTATGGACAATTAATTAAAATCCATTTATTTCCTCCTTTTATCTATTGTGTTTCTCTGTCTCTGTTCTGCTGAACCAAAGCTTGTAAAAGCTGGCCACAGAGAGAGGCGAGTGTGGCCAAACTGGGGCCGTCCCATCCAAACCACAACCAGCTGACAGCCTTCAAGGAGCTGCTGAATAGAAGAAGAGGAAAAACAATGGCTGCTCTGCATTCGAGAGCATGTAGGCAACTGATGGTCTCTACAGGCCCATTGCAGCACCATTACACTGAGGCTGGCTCTTGTTAAAAATACGTTCAGCCAGTAATTGGCTTTCACAAGATGAAGTATATTCAAAAAAAATAAATACATGTTGCCCTGTCATCATATTATTTTGTGTAACGAGCTAATCTATCAACTAGAAAAAAAGTTTATGTAAATTGCTGAATAATTCAGTGTAGTATTTTCTTTTCTTTTAAAGGAATCAATTATTTTTAAATAACAGTTTACACGGTCTGCCACCTCTATGCTTATGGTCTGGTTAGGTTTAGGCAGCAATTGTGGTCATCGTTAAAAGAAACCACTGAGTTTTGGTAAGATGTGAATTGCAATCATAGTCAAAGGTATCAGTCAGAGGATCTGTACATCCCACCATCCAACCTTTTACTCCCTCCCAAAGGCCCAGTGACAGCAGCATTTACAAACTTTTCAATCAATTCATTGTAATGAAATTGCAACAATCACAATATCCAGGAGTCAAGAAAATCAGTATGTATCTTTTTGTGTCATCTTGGTCTGCTGATTTGCACTATTAGCAAACAGAGGTGGATAGTAATGAGTCACATTTACTCTGTTACATGTAAGCTACCCAAGTCACTTTTTTTAATAAATTGTACTTGTCAGAATAGTTATAACTCAGCATACTTTTTACTCTTACGTAAGTAAAATGGGCCGTATGCACCACTGAGATCTAGCAAGTTCAGTTTTTGGATTTCAGTATTTCTAAAACCCTGCATACAGCAATGCTGGTAAGGTGATCCTAAATGCCTGTGTAACTGCATTTCTGTGTAAACACAGCTGGCTAAATGCTAAGAAAACAACACTGCAAATGTCCTTGTTAAAAAGGATCAAAAACACCAAAAGAATTAGGGTTAGGTTTGTGCTGAATTAGGTTACTGGCATTTTTCGGTCCAACTCAGGAATTGTACATGAGTAGATTTTTAGAGGAAAAAACATTATTTTTACTCTGTTACATTTGGACAAATTCAACGCACTAGTTTTATGGGGCGGTTGTGGCTCACATGCAGAGCTGGTCGTCCATTAACTGGAAGGTTGTTGGTTCGATCCCCAGCTCCACTCCCCACATGTCGAGCAAGATACTGAACCACGAAGTGCTCCCGATGCTGTGAATGTGTTAGTTTCTGTTTGATAGGCTTTGCCATCACTGAGTGAATGTGTGTGAAAGGGTGAATGTGCCATGTAGTGTAAAAGGCACTCCAAAGCACTTTACACTATCGGTTTGTACCGACACTCGCACCGTTCTCACACAGTGATTGTGATTGGCCCGCAATTTTTAATAAAGCATTACAAAGTATGATCTTGTCTTTCCTGAACGTTTTATTCAAGTCATCCATGATGGTCTTCAAACACACACGTCACACACTCTCGGTTATGTGAACATCGACAGAGGCATTGGAACGAGCAGTAGGTTTTATCCCTGTTGGACATCACTTCTGAGTTCTCTCACAGTGGATCATGTCCTTGGCTTCTTAGTGAAGTCTCAACATCCCGCTGTTTACTTGGACATAGAGTGTAGTTAGAAACAGGGCTAAAGGTTATATGCATATAATAGCCTCTTTAACAGTTTATGGTTTTACAATGACCAGGTCAAAGGGTTGTATAGGTTCTTAAAAATTGCCATTACAGTACCTAACCTGTACATACTGTACATCTTTGCATATTCAAAACAAAATGATTCCCTCATAAATGAATGTAATTCTAAAGAGATCCCTATAATGCAGAGGAACCCTTCAGAACAAAAGAGTACATTTATTTTGTTTTTATTTTACAATTATTGCCTAATGTGTGTATAATGTTTTGATTATGTTTATATGTTAGGTTTATTACAGCATTATTTTGCCATTTCTTTGCTTTATTATGTTTTACTATTTTATAAATGATCTATAGGTTCTGATGTATACATTTTAATGAAATGTAAAGGAGTAGACAACCAATGTATCAAATAGAGGTAAATGTTGATGGTGAATGAGAATGTATGTATACTACTGCAATTATGTCAACTGCAGTCCTTCAGTCAGTTGAATATTTGAAGCTCTGACAGCAAATGATTAAAAACAAACATTTTTCGCAAATGTTAACACTTTTATTCCATCTGTTGTTTCATATTTATTATCATGAAATCATGAGGGATTGGCTCCTGCCCCCTGCAACCCCTTTAAGGATAAGTGGTAAAGATAATGGATGGTGGATGGTTATTCTATGGTAAATGTATTATTGATTTAAAAAAGAAATGTAAAATATCTGGATCTAAAGAGTCTGCATGTATCTCATTGAAGGACACAAAACAAATTTATGTTCAATGCTAATACAGCTTCCTGCAAGTGGTTACTTTGAATGGTGATAAAGTTTAAAATCGATTTAAATGTATAATGTAAATTGGGTGTAAATGTATTCTATTTCTTAATGTGTATTGTTTATATTCCAGTAATATTGAATAATGTATAATGATATATAATATAATATAATGAATAATATAATGTAAATTGGGTGTAAATGTATTCTATTTCTTAATGTGTATTGTTTATATTCCAGTAATATTGAAATGTGCCTTAATTCAAAAATGTTTATTATGACTGCCTTCATGAGACATCCACCTGACTGCAAAATCCTGTATATCTTGACGGGTTGTTCCACAGCCTGCTCCTATAACTCTGAAACTATTTAGAAGTCTTATTCTGCATCTGCAACGCCTCACCTGTCCAACTGATGCGCAGGTGTAAATCATTTCAGTGATCTCAGTTTCACCATTCCTATGTGGACATCTTGCATGATTATCCTTCAAGTGGAAGATAAATAGAAGAGTAAAATAAATTAATTTAAAAAAAAATGTTTGTTAACTATTTGCTTACTTGTGTTTTTAATCAATGTATTCAGTTTTGGCTGAACCTTTATGCTACATTTTGTCAGGGCTTCATAGATTATAATCCATTACAAAAGTTGGACAATACACAGATGCTAACCTTTAATACAATTAGAAGTCCTGATAGGTCATAATATTGTAAAAGTAAGCCTAAATGGGGTTTTTGAGTGACATATTTATTCTTTCAGCAGTTATCTAATATTAACGGGGTAAATGTGATAGGGTGTTTTCTCCTGACGGGAAGAGCAGGCGAGATTTATGTCGGCGTTATTAAAAACATCTCCCAGCTGACGCTCTTCCCCTTTAAAGCAGCGCAGTGATGAGTCTGGGTAACAGAGGCTGTGCGCTCAACGGGAGATCCGCTGCTTATTCCTGTGTCACAATTCTAGTCCACTTTCATCTGATGAAATAATCAAGACATTGCTTTTTACAGTCATCGGATTTCTGTCTGGACAAGCCGAGGAGGAGCTCTTTAATTCCGGGCTCTAACGGACATTTTCTTCTGGCCCATATGGAGCTGAAATGTTGAAATTGCTCCATTTCAAGGACGCGCTCTTGGTCTTTTCTCTCTCTCCGGCGAATGATTTGTGTTGAAAAAATTGGATTGCGAACCATTCTGCGAAGATCCCGTGTTGTGTCAGCCCCCCCTCCCCAACGTTGCCGCAATAAAAGAGAAGATGAAGGGAATGTGATGGCAAACGCTGCGTTAAAACAGTCAGACGCGCGTCCTGGTTATGTGCGACGCATGGCGTAGGTTTGCTGTAAAGGATGTGATCCGACAGGAATCCCTGGTTTCTCGCTCCGCTGCCTCCTGAACAGAGTCGCTCATGATGCCCAGGGCTTTGCGGAGACTGCTTCATTTGGTGCTGTTCTGCCCTCTGTCCAAAGGTCTGCAGGTATGCACGGGGCAGCATGATGTCCACCTCCCTTTGTTGCAATAACAGGGTCCACACGGTAAATTATGCATGTCTAATTTACTACCAGGACGATATCTGCGTCGATGGCATCTAAGGTCCAGTCCAGTCCAGATGCATCACAAAATAAGTCTTAAAAAAAGGAGATAATTATGCTACATATTGGCTATCTTGGTCTTGTCAAGTGACCAGCTGCCCATTTATTTACTGTTGTGTAGGCCTCAGTGGGAAGTATTTATTTATTTATTCAGGCACTGCATGTAGTCAAGTACAATAGTTCTTAATCCTTTAGAGATATAATGCATTTGGTGAGATTTGTCATGCATCAGATATCAGTGAGCAGCTAAACAAGACATACTGTATCTCTTCTTACATGTTTTAAGAAAACTGTTCATGCCCAAAGAGGTAAAATTATCCAATATTCCACAAAAAGGCAAAGATCAGTTTTTGTCCTCTTTCTAACCCACACCCTTCCCACAACCCCACATAACTGTACTGTAGTGTACTTTGTGACCCTTAGCAGAGAGGTTTGGTCCACATGTTGGGAACTACCTGACTACATAACTGTATATAAGTGGTTACACTAACTAGCTCCACCATGACCAGCTGCAACAGTAAAATATTGCTTATACATTGATGTATCTGTATTAACTGTGTAATAATGTAATAAAATATCAGACACAGATGCCATTTTTGCTGCAGGATTATAAGTACATTATACAGCACACACTTATGTTATTATGTGATACCTATATAGTATTTTTGCAATAATGTATTGGTTCTTTTATTTAAAGGACATGAACACATTCAGATCTCTGCTGTCGGTTTTTATGATTAGTTGTCACGTCTTCTTGGCTTACTGTGTCTTCTTCTTCCCATCCACCCCTTTTTCGCCCACCCTCCTAAAGAGTCGTCTCCCAGCCATTAAGGTGAAGTATCTTCTTCTGGCATGGCTGGGCATCCTCATCGCCAGCTGGGTCATCTACATGCAGTATGCCTCTTACTCTGAACTCTGCCGCGGGCATGTCTGCCATATGGTCATTGTAAGTATGGTCTCTCTTTTTTAAAATACTTTATTTAGAGTTTTCAATTTTACAATGACAAGATATATTGAAAGGACATACAAAACAATGAGAATAGAACAAAAACAGTTTACAAGATTACAAAAGTGTCACAATGTTGACATCTCAGAGCAATGTAAAGTAACATTGACAAGTGAATCGAGTTACACCCCACCAACTCATGCATCCCGGCAAGTCAGAGTCCCTATGAATGTGAGGTAATTTGGCACTGTGAAAAGAAAGGTCCCCATATTCTCTCAAATCTATTCTGTGTATTATTCAGAAGAATAGGTTTCTTAGCAACCAGAATTCCTAAATGCAGGGCTAACTGCATGTTGTACAGCAGCTCAGAAGTCTCCTAAGTATCCAAAGATGGCCTGATTGTGGTTGGGTTGAATGTCTCTGGAATAGGCTTTTTTTTAGAGCCACTCAAAGATCAAAAATCAGCAGAGCATTTGTCGCATTTAGAAGACAGTGATGGGTTTCAGTTTTGTTTTTGAGTAATGCAGTCTATGCATCACCTTGTACTGGATTAACATGTCGCGTATGTAAATAGAACAACAAGGAACCCAGGACATTTCCCTTTTCCCAGAACTCTGTTGATATCTCTGAATTTAAGTCACTGGCTCAGGCTTCCCTAACAGGATCTGAAGAAATCAAAGTAGTAAAGCAACTGTAGGGAGCAAGAGATTTTCAAGAAAAGGATGAGCAGTGTAATACCTTTCCTGAACAAAGAGATGAAAAAAAGTGAATTTTGAAGATTGAACTTAGTACTTAATAGAATAAATGAAGCAAATTTGCCCCCTCTGTCTCCAGAATGCAAACACCCCATCTAACTATCCAGGCCTGAATAAGTATAAGTCTCTTAATACTATGAAAGCCATTCATAACTCCGTCAGTGTGGTGGTGATCTTGATGCTACAGAAAGCCCAGGAGTCAGAAATGTAGGTCACTGTATCATTATGTCTTTACATTCTGATGTACAACAATCTCTGACAGTGGCCATGCCTCAGGTTTAAGTTTACGTAGGAAAATAGGCATGAGGCAGTACAGATATGTAAAACCTTATTACGTAGGTTACAGGGTTTGTTTTTGTTTTTTCAAAAGAAAGGGAAATATGGCAGGACAACTGGACACAAGGACTATCTTGGGGGCCTCTTCCTTCATGCATGGCCTTTGACATTGGGCCCAGCTGTGCCCAGCACTTTCAGCTGTTGAAAACAGAACAGGCACTGGGACACAATGGTGATTGGTGATAACTACTCAGAGAAATTGATGCACAATGAAAGATCAATGATGTAACCTCATTATAACAAATAATCACATCTGCACAACAGTGTTCTTGCATGCACATTGATGTAGGCTACAGTATCTGTGTGCCTCAGTGTTATACAATGTAATAGATAAAAGGTCAATATGCTTACAGGGAAATATTTCATGCCAATGAAATTAGTGCTGATGATGCAGGATTTTGCTGGGTATACAAAGGTTTCTGATTTGCCCGTTGTTGCTTTGTATTTTGCTTCTAGAGATCTAGAAATCTTTAGAAATCTGTCAGTAAACTGCTGTTTCGATGTGAAGGCTTATCAGCATTTGTGCCTTCTCAGTTGTTAGCTGTGCATAGTGCAAGTGCATGATCTGTGCTCATTTTGTGACTTTATATGACAGAGCATACACATGGGATGCAGGTCAGTAGGCTACTCCATACTGCTGCAATGTTTATAGTGCAAACTGCAATGAATGACCTACATCAGTAAGAACAGCGGTATCATGGGAATGCAGTGGTAAAAGTCGTGCAAAATCTTAAAGGAATATTTGGACATTTTTGAAAAACCAACATTTAACTTATAACTTTAAACAATAACTTGTTAAATTGTGAGATTTAGAGCTGATGGTAGGCAGATAGTGTTACCTTTTGGACAGAGCCAGAGCTTGTTGTTGTTGTCTTGTTTGTCTAACTCATGTTTTGGACCATATTTTGTTTATTTATATGCAATATTTTCTAGGAAATATACCATAAGCTTGTGTGGAGTACCAGTAGTAATATTTTACCCATTCTGTACATTTCCTAAAAGCATTAGGGGAAATATATGTAGAATGTCTGATTTGCTCTCTTAAGCCCATGGAGAGTCTCTTAGATTTGGGCAGCAGCTGGGCAGGCAGGTGATAAAGTCAGAGGGTGAGGAAACCAGAAAGCGACTTCTTCTTCTTTTTACATATCTTTGTATAAAAGTTGGATCTGTTTCCTGTGGTTAATGTAGTGCATTTCCTGTTTCCTTTTGCAGTGCGATCACTATAGAAGGGGCATAATATCAGGCTCATCTTGCAAGGCATTGTGTGATCAGAGGACTCTAACCCTGCAGCGCTGCATGTCCACCTCCTCCACACATCAGGTAAAATAAATACACACACAACCTTTTTGGCTAAAGACCAAACACTTCCAAAGCCAACGATTCTGATTTACTAGCATGGAACAAAAGGATTTTTACATTTAAAATATTGAATAAGGATATTGCAAACATATGCCTTTGAGGCCTTTGAATAGTCAGTGTGGCATCATACATATTTAAATTGTGTGAAACAGATTTTCCTGCTCATTATTTTTCCAGAGAAAAAACAAAACTCGCTTATACCAGAAAACTACATTTAGTATCAGACATGATTAAAAAAAAAAGTCCTCCATTTTCATATAGGTAGTTTTAAGCAGCGCTCATTTGTGTAACAGCTAATGGTAAATCAGTGTGTAATATATTATACAGTTCTGAACACTTGTTTGGCTTGTATTCAATTGATGCCTGTATTTAAAAAAACACCCCTACCACTGGCCTTTATGGTACTGTATCAGACACATACAAACATTTATACATACCATCTTATCTCTTCCTATTGTCACATTCCTATACTTGCAGGTGTACAGTGGACTGTGGAAGGAGAGACCTGTTGTGATCAAGTGTGGTGTCGAGGATCCAGTGAAGATCGATGGGGCTCCAGACTCTGTACTGCGACAGGAGATGAGCTTATTTGACAAACCCACTCGTGGAACCTCTATGGATGAATTTAAAGAGATGCTACACAGTTTCCTCAAGGTCTTTTTTTTTCTCAGCAATTACACCATAAAATATATCATATGGAACAACTACCACCATAGAAAGCAGAAGCTATCTAATCAAAAACTACATTTTGGACCTGGATTTGAATATTACCTTTTTTATACCACAATTACCACGTAATAACCAAATTGTGTCAACCTCCTTCTTGCAGGCTAACCTTGGAGAGCAGCCATCTTTGAACTCCTTGGTGGACCGGGTCATTGCCCTGGCTGATGTCAACCAGGATGGCAAAGTGTCTCTAGCAGAGGCCAAATCTATCTGGGCTCTTCTCCAGATCAATGAGTTCCTCCTGATGGTGGCGCTGCAGGAAAAGGAGCACACGCCCAAGCTGCTAGGCTTCTGTGGAGACTTGTATGTGACAGAACATGTGGGCCATAGCTCCCTCTACAGAATAGAGGTGCCTCATTACCTGCAGGCTCTGGTCCCAGATGCCTTAAGCTCCAGCCTGAACCACTGGCTCGCACCAGCCTGGCCACGCAGGGCTCGCATCACAATCGGCCTGCTGGAGTTTGTGGAAGAGGTTTTCCACGGGTCCTATGGGAGTTTCCTAATATGTGATGCCAGTCCTCGCCACGTGGGCTACAATGCAAAGTATGACTGCAAGATGGCCAACCTGCGCAGTGTGGCATCTGAGGCAGTTGTACGGGGATATTTGAGGGGGCGGCGATGTGAGACTAATGCAGACTGCACTTACGGCCGGGACTGCACGGCCACCTGTGATCGACTAGTGAAGCAGTGTAATACTGAGGTTGTACAACCCAATCTCGCAAAGGTGTGTGTGCTGTTGCAGGATTTTCTGCTTTTTGGCGCACCTTCAGACCTCCGTGGGGATCTGGAAAAGCAACTACGCACCTGTGTGACACTCAGCGGCCTTGCAAGCCAGATGGAGGTGCATCATTCACTGGTCCTTAACAACCTGAAGACATTGCTGTGGAAGAAAATTTCTAACACTCAGTACTCTTGAAAACAGGTTGAGATGATCCAACCTGTACCTCTACATCATGAGTGAATTATTACATGAACAAGAGTACAGTAGTTTTTGCTTATGAAGCTTTGCCAAATGTTTTAGAGGTCGGTGGTTATTGATGTATTTTGACTCCACATTGACTGTGAATAACAGGAAACTGTGAAATAGTGAATATATAATAAGAAACAGTAGATGATGCAGACTCCTGTAAAACCCCATCATGTTTTTGTTTTCCGATGCATTATTTTGAGAAGCACATTAATTTGTTTAGACATAATACTCTCAGGGCAATGCCTATGACGTTATTTGTAATATGTAAGTAAATAAAATACGGTAGTTTCATAGACAATTCTTCTGTTTGTCCCTAGTAAAGACAGAAAGTCAAATTGTGACACAGTGTAGTTTTTGTACAACTGTATATTAGTGGAACATTGTTCCTGTGTATATCTCCATCTGAAGCAGAGATAAGATATAATTAATGGAATGAGTGATGCATACTGTATATACAGTAGCACTGAAATGTACCTTCTGGTGTTGATCTGATATTGACAATGTATTAAAATCGACCTGAAAGGACTGGAGTTGTTAAGGACAATCAGACATGATTAAACTTGAATGAACTTCTAATCGGTGAATGAGTTGGTGCAGACAATTGATTTTAAACACATTGTGATTGAAATGGCTTGCATGCTAACTGACCGGTGTCAGAGCAGGAGAAGTCAAAAGTTGGAGCAGTCATTCAGACTGCTCCAACTTTTGACTTCAGCTTTATGTATTTATTAATGTAATTTGTAAAGGGACCATGTACTAGCCTGGCATCACCGAACTCATTTGCAAAACGCAAAGCACGGAAGATAATGAGTGGGTATTCTGGATACTGTAGCTGTATGATAGGGATAGCTGTATTTACGGACTTGATGGGTAAAGAGGTTGCAGAAAGTGTCAGCTCTGCCTTCATACATTTGCACACTGCAAAACATGTGATATTTCAGTACATCACCCTCCCGGCAGAATAAATGCTGTGGTTGGTAATGCGTGCAAAATGTTAAAGGCATTCACAGCCAAGATGAAAACGTTGTGCTCATTTTGACCACGTAGGCAGAGGAAGGAAGAGCTGCAAGATCTGGAGTTGGCAGAAATGTATGATGGCTGTTTAGTCACCAGTCAGAACAGTGGAACTATCTATACTATACTATACCCAAGTCACATCTGAGGACAGCGTTGTAAGAGGAACAACTAAATCTGTCCAGAAAATAATTAGCAAGGTGTTTGACATCGTTGATCCACTTTTGTCTGATGTGTCAGACTCTGACCATGAGCCCCCGCTATCTGAAACCTTTCTGGAGATGAAAGCTGCTGCAAGTCTTTGATAGTAGGAAGCAAGATCAAAGCGCTTTGCCAAAGTCTCAATACACTGCATAGTGATATAACACAATTTAAGAACAAAATCCAACAGGACTCAAAATGTTCAAAGCATGCAGTCAATGCAGTCACTTATACCCCATGTTGACTCTCTCTGACAAAGGGTGGTGAAAAACAAAAGGGTGGAAATGAGTTTAGTATGATTCAGAAGATCAGAAATATTTCCAGTGGTAAAGTCGTGATATTCACACAGTCACATCACAGATGGGATGATGCCTGAGATTATCCCAGAACCATTTGGACTCGCAGTACAGTGTCTGTTCAGTCGCATGCTAACATGTATCCTGATATGTAGAACAAAGCGTGGAGTTTCATGAGATTGTGACTCATCACTCAGGTTGGCAGGCATGGTCAAAGGGTTACGCACGCTTAAATGGGCACAAACACAGTTACCTGTACCTTTGGCAACTGCTGCAGGGACTGTGCAGAGACATATGCCAACAGTACAGACAGAAACACACTAACTGTCTCACTTGTACCTGGATTGTGCTTCTTCAAGACAACCACCACCTAGGCGGGGCAATCAAGCACCGAAGTAATCCTCTGACCATAATGTTGCAAATAATTACCACATCCTGTTTCAGAATAAAAGACCATTGTTGTTGCTGATTAACCTTAAGTAGACACGCTGTTATTATGTTTTCAAATTTGAATTAAAGGTCTGTTAGTTGACAGTTCAGTTTGTGTTGAGGAAGAATGAAATATCACAATAACTGCAACAACTTTATTAAACAACTCTGGATTATTCTAACTGAATTCCTAGAACTGGTTCCAGTAGGTCATTTGTGCGTAAGGTTGATTTGCCCAAAGCAAAAGAGTTTCTCATTGGATCTCTAAGGGTGCTGTTCTTCACTGCCTGCTGATGCTTAGGTTGCAAGGCGATGTTACGCAGCCTAGCAGAGTGAGGTTGAAGTTCTCTGCCCTGTGCATGCATACGCTTGTATCTAATGGTATGCACATAATGTGCTAAATGAGGGCAAGTGTGGGTGGAACACTCAAGAAACAACTGTGACAGATTGGTGCAGTTTGTGGCCCCTGACACAGCTCCTCGTCTACTGCAGGCGGTGCCCTGTCTGCCACAAAGCAAGGTGCTCGCTGCACCAGTTGTCCTGTTTGTCACAGGCCTTGCCCTGGTTCTTTTTGGCACTAGTTCTGGATCTACAGTTGGTCCTCCTTTGGGTCTATATGGAACCCATACCTCAAATATTGTAGGTCCTGCCAATGACTTTTGCATCCCAAAATCAGTTTTTACTGTAGCCTCTGTGCTGACCCTGACGGGCCCCAGTTCCCTGTCACCTGCAGACCCTTCCTTGGGTTTATTATGGTAAGGGCAATCATTCAGATGGCAGTTATATACGCTGCTGCCACGCCTCTTGGTTGACTTTTGTCCCTGCACCTGTTTTGAAACTTGTAAAGGAGCTTTCTGTGTGATAGGTGGGAGTACTGGCCATGCAGATGGTAGAGATGGTTTTGTCTCCTTTCGACAGGGAACCCTGGCTGGTTTTACCCGACATGTCTTTACTCTCTCTTTACACGGTGGTGGTACTGGTCTTGGTTCACTAGAGGGAGATATTTCTTCAGCAGTTAGACCCACACTGTCCTGTGGACTGGGGATTCTGACTGAAGACACTGTAGGAGTCCTCTGTCTCTTCTTACAGGGAGAGGATACTGTGATGGACACAGAGGATGCAGTGGACACACTAGATGTAGGTAAAGGAGATTCCTCTGGGACTGTTTTGAGGGTCTCTTTCCTTTTGCTGTCCTTCTGCAAGACCATATTCTCTGCAAAAGTGAACAAGGGTCAATTAAAAGAATTTCAAAAATTGGATATGACACATGGTTTTCACATCCACTGGATATGGATACAATACATTGATATCATTATTATCATCTCATCATGAAACGTCTCCAATAAGCTAAGATGACCACAAACCGAGACTGAAGAAATACATATTCATGACCCTATTAATATAGACAGCCCACAGCAGTCTGTGGTTGCAGTCAAACTCCCAAGTTCAAACCAAATTAACAATCATTATCCAGAATATGAAACAACATGCAACTGCTGACAATTGTTAATTTGAATTTAAATAAGGATATATATGATAAATGTCTTGAGTGGGGGTCTGCTCTGGACACCCTTAACCATTTGTTGTTATATTTCTAGAGCAGTATCCTGCAGGCTAATGATATTTGCAGTTTACTGTATATTTAGTCTTATTCACTTCTTCTAGATAGATAGATAGATA